CTCCTTTTACAAACGTATATAATAACCAGAAATGTTCAGATCGTCCTTGCGTGTATTTTATGCCACAAATTTTGACGAAAGGCTTTTCATTACATAAACTATACCTATTTACAGTGTTGACCAAACAGTTGGCAAGAAGCATTAATAAATAAGCTATGTACCAAATATGATAATTTTAGCTCTATTCTAATTATGACAAAACACGAAGTAACTAAAAGCGAGTTTTGTTGGTGTAGTAAGCGTTGCAGGAGGTCTACTTTACACTGAATCGACGTTCACTTTTATTGCTTTTGATCTTCCGGCACTGTTGACTCAGCGAAACTGAACTTGTATTTTACCGTATTTCGTTATATTAAAACTGCTGTTGCATTAGGTCAAATTCCCAATAAGTCAATTGCTTTAACATAGACCACGTTTTTAGCTCGGACTGTACTATTTGACTTACTGGGACTTTTGATCTACAGACACTGCAAACATTGTAGTTTTTGACCTAGCGGCACAGGTATAAATTATTTGATCTTCCGGGACTGTTGACTTCCAGCAACATTCCCATACTTAAAATAATTCTATATTTATATCGTATCGAATAAGTTAGCATTCTATGCTTAAATATCGATTGTATGTTTTTCAAGACTTTTTTTACACCTTCTGTTAGGTTAGGTTATTTTAGTTTAATTTATGATAGTAGCAAACAAGGTAAAATTTTGGGTAGCCTAATAGAGTTGGATATTACTTTTTGTCTGGTTTGTTAAACAGAAAAGTCACGCAACTTAATTTAACAGAAAATAAATATTGAAATTCAATATTGATATCGATCGAAACACGTTAATTGATAGTTAGGCCTGAGTTATAACGAAGTTTGGCTGACTTAATATTCAATCTGATAATATAACCTATCATGGGTTCTCTGCGGAACTGTATCTTAGCACTTCGGCCTATTATCATATTATTTAAATAATCAGCGCTAATTTAGAAGGCTTCTTATTATAAAATAAAACAGCAAACCTAACCGAACATGAAACAGGTTTAGTCAGGCCTAAGTTACTAAACTTAATAAACAATCTGTGATTAAAACTAGCCCATTCGTTTTTGTGTAGGCCCTAACTTATTCATTAGTTTTGCATTTTGATGTTTAAGCCTACTTTTGGTATAGGCATAAGCTTATGTAAGATAGCCATTGAGATCGATACTTTCTTTCAGCCTAACTCATATAAGATGTAGCCAACAATTGGAACCTAACCTACGCTACACAAAAGTTAGGCTACTAAAATTTGACTTGATTGCAAATGAATTTCATCATTAGTTTACAAATCTATCAAGGTTTGCTTTACTTGCAGGCTATCAAGGCCTAAATTAAACTTAACCCAAGCAATTTGTGAGATGAAATAATAAATTAACTTAGGCCTATTGATTGATTAAACAATTCACAACTCCAAATTTAACACTTAACAAAAATTTGAGTAGAAAGTTGTTAAAATTGTAACTACTGTAGTTTAATTTATTGCATTGGATGGATGAGGTGTGGCATACTTTGATGCACACATTGGTGATTTTGTCATGTGATTTATGATCCTAACCAAATCGTTCATGTTGGAAACGAGAACTGGACACATTATTTTAAACAGAGGAGACAATTTACCGCAATTCACAGGCCCCAAGAGCCAGCTTTGATGATTGTTTGATTAATTAAAGCATTTTTATTACAGAAATATTCTAATCGTTCATTATATGGAATATTTAATATATAGGTCAACCGGACACAACGTGAACTAATATTTGAATAAATTACCAAAAGGCCTAATAAATGACAGAATAAATGACATAGGGAATTTTGACTACATGATCTGAAATTAGATATTAATTAACTACTACTAATCTACAACACAATACCTCAGGGGGACCTCCCCCATATCCCATGTAGCTATCGAACCATGTTGTCGGTACCAACCCCTGAACAAGACAGAGAGCTTACCACGATCATCTGACTCACCTGCTCGCTGCGCATGCACGAGCAAAAAAACTTAACCTAGCAGCCACCATCCCCAAACGGAAGCATCCTACCTTTACATTAACAAGGCAAATTATGAGTTTAATATGGTAATTAGCATCCTTGTGGTGCATTACTTACGACTTTTGTCTAAAAAGAGCCCCATGATCTCAGTTGTCTAGAAACTTGACAATTTGCCAAGTTCCACCCGAATCGTAAGTTAACTTACTTTTTTCTTTACTTATGATTCTTTGTCGAAAATCAACTCCGATTCCACACAAATTAAAACTAATTTTTCTACAATTATTATAATGATATAACTTAAGACAAAAACACCTTAGTTTGAAATTAACTATTAAAGATGTCGAGACCAAAACTGACAGGTTGAGGTTAGAAACAACGCTGCTGTTCTGCTGTTCATCTCCGGCCGGCGCGGCGTGGGTGGGTGCGTCATGTTGGATTGGATTTTGGATTAGAATGGAATGGAACTGAAACTCTGACAATATAATTGTTTTCTTCGTCTTCAGGTCTTCTCGCTTCTGTCTTGTGCTTGTCTGGCCTTAATTGTCCTTGTATTAGATTTTGGTTGGTGTTGCTCAGAACTTTAAGCTTGAGCACTTGAATAAAAACGTTAAATTGTGTATTCATTGGTTAAAACCAAACTGACAATTGGACTATCTTGGTTTTTACTCTTGAAAATTATCCAAACAGTAGAAAGTTTGTCTTTTAATTTTTTAAACGTAATTTTTCAATAAATATAGTTATATATAGTTAACTAGTTTTTTCTTAAAATATCTGTATTTTATTACTTTAACCTCCGTTCATTTATTTACATAAGTACAAGAGTCAGGAGTCAGGGATTAATAAATTATTAGGGATACATTTCTTAAATTTTGTATGAAAATCTGTTTTAATTGATGATAACCAAATCCCAATTAATGTAAGAAAATATTGAAATGTATAAAAAGTACTAGGCTATACTTAATATTATTATTTAATACAGAGCAAATTGAAATTAATGCAATGGTATGCAAAACCTCAAACCAAACCTACTCTGAATAGAATTTTTATACAGAATAAAAGAAAACCACCTTAAAACATTTAGATATGAGATCCTAAACATTAAATGTAAATAACTCTTAAAATCACTCATTAAACTAAGCTGACAGCTGAGCTGAGACTGCCGTAGGAGAAAGGAGTGATTGGGGTAGGGGTGGTTCCCAAGGTCGACCGTCGGCCGGTCGGGCAAAATAAAAATAGAATACGGCAGCTACAGAGCAACACCGCGACATTGCAATATTGATTGATATTAAGATAATTAAGTTGGGACAGAGCCTTCAACTCCACAGTGGAGTTGATTATTAGGCTATTATTACTAAATTTAATTCAATACTATATTGATATTTAATTTGGGAAAACATTGCAAATTATAAAGTGATTGGTATCAAATAATATGTATTTGTTCAATAAAGGCATACAACGTAATATTCAACATTCAGTTACACACAAGAATAATAGAACTAGTATTCGTGGTTATACCTAACTTTCCAAAATACATTATGTACATCTAACTTTTTTAAATTTAGTTGCATTACTTTTGCCGCAGCGCCCAGGGCGGTCGCCCTGGTCGCCCTACCCACGCGACGGCCCTGGCTGTACCTACCAGAACCTGGACAGTACTGGTCCAGAACCAGTGGCGTAACAGCTGGCCCCGCAGACCCCGCGGTGCAGGGGGGGGGGCCCGCGAGGTTGAGATACCCTTTTCCCCTAAAACCGTCCGTAAAACCAATCCTTTGTTCACGGATGTTTTTCTCTCCTGAAAATTTTTTTAAAACACAATGTGTTGGTAGATACTTTTATTCTGCCAAATCTACTGAAGTTTTAACTTTTAAGTAATAAAATTGTTAACGAAACGCCACCTCCCGCCTTGATCAACCAATGATGTGTATTGTCCGTGTGGTTGTGTTGCTTCAGGCTAGGAGCTGAGCGACTGCCGCCTAAGCGATACCTAGGAGGATTAAAGAGACACACACTCGGAGCCAGCCCCTCCCCTGTCCACCACTACCTGCCCCTGTGTAGCCCAGCTGACTGTAGAATACCTGATTTTGATTTTGATAGAGATCCATGTGGGTTACTCATCAGCGGCATTGACTTTATATCTACAAAGTCAATGTCAGCGGTGCCTGTCGTGATCGTGACAGGCTTTGTTTGGTTCTGTATGTACTGTAGTCTGGGTCTTGCGTATATTGACAACAATTTGCTCTGTGTGCGTCGCGCCCTTAGTTTACAGCTATTATTTGAGCTATAAATTTATTATTATTAATTTAATAATTGTATTAAAAAAGTAATAACATTAATGTTAGTAATATCATAGATAAAACATACATGTTTTATCTATGGTAATATGTTGACATCGTTTAATGTTGTCAGGCCTAAAAGTGAGAATGAACTAAGGTAAAAAAATTTAACATTTAAGGTTAGCAAAATTTAAAAACATTTTGATGAACTAGCAGAGAACGAACATCTATCGGATCCTGACCTATATATTAAAACAGTTGTACCATGGAACTTAACACTGTAATAAATCAAATCATTAAATATTTCAGGGGATGAACAATGTAAGTAGTATGTATTCTGTTCTCACCCCGGATTGTTTATCGTAATCTATACAAACAGTTTAATGTTAAATCAACAGAAATAGCTGACTTATATTTAGCATTAATATCATGCTTATTGTTGATGTGTTGAGGGAATGTATTTTTAGTTTAGGAGCTGGTCGGTGCTCTTTGTATCTGATTTTGAAAGGTTTCCCACTTTGTCCTACATAGGTGCTCGAACAATCGGCACATTTTATGCAGTATACGCCTGTCTTTTCACATTTTATCAACTTGTGGGTGTTTACTTTTAGATACGTTTTGTAGCCGATTAGAAGTTTTAAAAGCCAGTTTAACACCAGGAAACTTTGAGCTATATGTATGTGGTTTTATGTGTGGTAATTTATACATTGTGATAGGTTTGATGTGGAGCCGTGGACTTGGGAAAAGGATACACAGTATAATCAACGGAAGCCTATCCGTGACAAGCCTATTTCTTCTTCTCATCTATCCGTGACTCTGATAACCAGGGATGGAAACAAGAAGTGGTTTGAGTGTGTCAAAGGACATATGTATGTGGCTGAAAACACAGAAGTGTGCGACTTCTGTAAGATTGAGGAGGAGGAGGAACAGCGGTTAAAGGAGGAGCAACAGCGGTTAAAGGAGGAGCGGAAGAAAGAAGAAGCTGTAAAAAATGCTAAGAAACAACCAAGAAATGAACCTAAAAATTGGAAAGAAAGAGAAAGACAAGGTCCACATGTAACCGACTGGCGAAGGGGAGGCAGAGGAGGAAGGGGTGGGGGAAGAGGTGGGGGTAGAGGAAACCGAGGAAATCCCAGAGGGGGGAATAGGGGATACCTAGTCTAGCATACTTCCCCACATGGCTTTAGCTCTTAAGTGTTTGCGGAGTAATCCAAACTAAACACTGATAGTTAGAGAAACTTTGATACCAATGGGTTTAAGTTTGTATTTTGATAATTTAATAGAAAATAAGAGGGTTTAACTGTTCTTTCAATTTTGATCTTGTATTGCACTTTGTATTGTTATCGTGCTTGGTTATGAGTAATTTGTAATTGAGCACTTATTGTGATATTGATTGTAGGTAGCTATAAGTTAAGGTAAAATATCCAAAGATTTGTTGGTATATTCATATTGCTATCTGGTTTGTGATATGTATAAACATTTGTGCAATAAGTCTGACAACCATGATGGTTTATATGAACAATGGCTCTCTTACAGTGAGTGCCAAGAATGTCATGCTTGTGGGGGGGGGGGGGGGGGCATTATTGTAGGCCTATTGAGGTGTTGTGATCACAAATCCAACTTAGTTGGTTCTGATTGTACCCTCTTAATTTTGAGTTAGCTGTAATGTTTCTACTTCATCTTAGTTGGCATTTAGTTGATATAATTTGGTAACATATGACCATAAAAAGTATTGAATTTCAATTCATAAATAAAACAAATTACTGTATATCTAATTATATTTTATCTGTAGTAAACATTTCATTTATTTTTTTGTTTCATTTTTAATTTCATTTCACTTATTCGTTACTAAGTTCCTAAAGTTTATGCAAACACTGTGCCAAAAATGTGCCTTTCAAAGTATCATGTAATATTATTATATAGTAATATTTTATAAAGGAATATTTGTAGTTAATTCCATTTTTAATGTTTATGAATAAAGTTTCTTGTTCTCTTAACTGCTTGTTTTACTATCCCCTTGCTAAATGCTTACCACCTGAATAGTAGCCTACTGTCTATACTGTATAGAAATGGGACAATATGTGGACAAAACATGTCAAATATGTGGCAGAAGATGAAAACTCTCAAATTCAAATAATATTAAAATTGAATTATTTGTAAAGAAAGGAAGGGTTAAAATTAAAAGCAAATAAGTTACACCATGTAAAAATGATACCCCCGCCGCAGCAAACCTGCAGACTAAGCGAATTTCCATTTGACTGATTGGATTTACACTGAAATGGTTGCTTAAAAATATAACATTTATTCCCGATTTAAATAGAATTAGTTTAACAAGTACTTAGGTTTGCTGCATCAGGGAGGGTAAATTTTTTTTTTTTTTTGTAAAATGTTAATAGTTAGTAAGAAATAAAAACATTTTCCGAATTTGATCAAAATATGTTCATAAACAAGCAAACTACAACAGTTTACTTATTCTCCATAAGAATAACATGGGAATTTTAAATTTACAATTTTTTGGAATTTTCTCTGTAACCGTTAGGCGCACAATATCGCTTCAATATACTAAATTATTTGTTTTTTTAAGCTCTACAAAATGGTTTGGAAATAAATTGCAAAATTTTAAGTTTTTTGGGTCAAAAATGGGAAAAACCTATTTTTACCCCATAAAACCCCCCGTAAACACCCGTTCCCATGGTCCGATCATGCTGGATCGCGAACTCGTTGGAATAAACGTAGGTTTACACGTTTGTACCAAATTTCATCAAAATCGGATAATTTTTGCTTGAGTTATCGTGCTGACGGACACATATATATATATATATATAAATATATAAATATATAAATATATATATATATATATATGAATTTGAACGGATGGTGTTTTTGGCCTCTAGGGACCTCAAAACGAAAAAAAAAAATTGGTCCCGCGTCCAGGTCTTACCATGAGTACTACGGTAATAGCTTATTCCCTATATGGGAAATTCGCTAAAATATTAATATAATGTATAAACGGTCTGCAGCCACTGCATACAATACAGTAGAGTCCCGCAAACTCGGCACTCGATAACTCGGCAGTCTGGATAACTCAGCCATCACCTGGCTCAGAAAATTAGTGATTTTTTGAGTCTGAGTTAAACATGGACTCAAGCCAGCTCAAGTCAAATCATTCTCAGCTCGTACAAACGATTTGTTTTACTATATCTGATGACTTATTACTAACTTGTAATATAAATATAAATTAAAGAAGTAGTTAATAAGATTAAAAACTGTATTGTTCTTGTTTTTAACCCTAGTTCCCGATAACCCGGCATTTCACAAACTCGGCACCCTTCCAGTCAACATTACGCCAAGTTTGCAGGACTCTACTGTAGTACAATAACATTGTAGCCTACTTACATCACATCCTATATCACTAGTCCTCAAAAATGTGTTTACATTTATGTATACATTTATGTAAAATTTGAAAATTTAATTTTTTAACAATTTCATATTTTTGTTATGTCATTGTGTCACATCGTATATTTTGCTATATTATCCTTTATTGACATCAAGACAAATTTATATAGAAAAGAATTTCCGTTACTTAAATATCAATTTACCACAGAGACAGAATTGTTTTGGCGGAGTAGTAGTGTTGCACCTAAAACAACTACACCTAACACGTCCTGTTGAAGATTACTTTTCCTTTCTGATTTTAAATGGACAGTTTTATACAATAGGTATATAAGTGTAACTTTCAAAATTGAATCACTTTCACAACATCAGTGCAACTTGTGCTAGGAAGCATTAGAGTTGTGGATTTTTTACAGGCTGGAAAAAGTCCCAAAATGGTTGAATATTTCAAAAAATAATAAAGATAGATCTACAAATCTTGGTACAACGTCACTGGGCATAAAGAATATTTAAAATGTTACTTAGTGATATTCTACAACCTCAGGGGGACAGGCTGGAAGAAAATGTTAAATGTAAGCATTACTAAAGTTAGTAAAATACAATGCTGCAAACCCAAACTCGGACAATCGAGTCAAAAATGACAGCCGTTCAAGATTTCTTGAATTATTTTCAATAATATCTAGTAGGTTCATATGCTACTGCCCACTAGAAGTCGGGAAAAAATAATTAATGTAGACATAGGTTGATTAAGGCTCAAAACAATAACTGAGTCAAAATTTGTAGAAGTAAGAAAGTTGAGTCTTAGAGTAAATTTATAAGTGCAAAGTCTAACTAGCCATTGCACTATCCTAAGTCAATGATAAAAGAAAAGATTAATATAGTAGTTTCCTCTTGCAAAAAAAGCAGAAGTTGTGATAGTAATTTAAAACTTTGATTCAAACACTAATCCTAAATTGAATAACCATAGGCCTATATTCAATTGTATTGTATATAAATTGATTTGTTGTGGTAATGAATATATTATTAGGTATTTTTTTGTCTTAGATTAATGAGCTTGTTTCACTTAAATTATGTATATCAACAAAAATGTATACAGTACATAAGAATTGTAACTGCTGCTTAGGCCTACATAAACAGCATTATCAACCACTTTATAAATATTTTAACTGATTACAAATAGACTTAAGATTAGGATAAATTACATTTACCATAAAGACTGCTCTCGTTCGGAGTATACCAATGATTCCCCCCCCCCAGGAAATCAGGAATGTGTCATTAAGATTTGCTGTTAACAATACTTTTTCCAACTTTACAATCCCCAACCAAAACTGACATAAAAAATAATTGTTCTTTCATTCTCAAACAGGTTCTTCAGCCCATATTGGATGGCGGTAAAACCAGTTTAGAATAGAAAATCAATAATTCCTACTAAAATGCAAAGAATGAACATCTCCTCAATGTTGCAGCTATAATAACTACAGTTACAGTACGGTAGTTGAAAAATTTAAATAACACCAACAAGTTTTATTTTTAAATTTTAATAATATTGTTGAATAATTACCGCAACAAATAATTGTTGCAGCCCTCAAAGCAAAACATTATGCAGCCCAGGGTAATTTAGTTTTGTAGAAGATCGTGTTGGTAGCCCTGCCTTTGTTCGGCGGTCGTGAATTCCCACCCCTCCACACCACCACGATTACAATAATAATTACAGACCAAGCCGCGCTCCTATTGGTCGAGCCCCGCTCTTTGTTCGTCGGCCGTTACTATTTGAAAGTTCAGTCTGACCGAAGCTTCGTCCCAGTGAAGGTGTGTCATGGTAGTCTACGTTGTTTTCTTTGTGGTTTGTGTAGTTTTTGCTGATCGTTTGTTTTGTGTTAGAATGTAACCAGACTAGTCGAATTGATGTTTAATTTATCACAGTAGTGGTACAGTAAATTAGTATTGATGCACAGTGTTTGAGACTTACCGCGCCAAATTGGCGCCATCATTCTGCGTGCGTCCCTGGCGGGAATGAGAAGTGAGAAGACAGGTAGGCCTACTGTAAATGGGTAATTTGTACGTACATATTCTGTTTTGTGTTTCACGTTATGCTTTGTAAATTGTTTGCATGGCGTGTGTCAATAAAGCATGGCTTAGACAATTTAACTTTTTAGTCAAACAAATAACTTTTTAAGTTGGGGCCTAGGCTATATTTTACTTTTTTAAATAGGTATATAGGCCTAATGAAAATGAAATTTATGTTATTCTTGAGCTTCCTCCTCGAGCTAGACTTGCTCGAATTACAATGTAACAATTCTGGAAAGTTGGTATTGATTAATTAATCAACACGGTTAATATAGGTATTCCTCAAATTATATTCAGGCTGGTTTTTATTTTTTCCTCCGGAGCTAAATTTAAACACGTCACTTTTACTGAACGTTCGTTCAATCAAATTGATTGGTAAACGTGCTGATTAGGAAAGATCAAGTCTAAAATAATTGCACATTTGTTGCTTTGCGTGTGGAAAATCAACATTTCCTCGGACAGGTAATTTTACCTTCGTCGTTGGCACCCCTGCTTCCAGAACCGGATCTGTTCCCTCCATCGATGGTTCCCTGTCCCTCCCTCCTTGAGTGGAGCCCGGCCCATGCGTCTTCTTTTTTGTCTACGAACGATTCGAATACGCTCCGTAGGCGCGGCGTGATGCACACCTCTTTGGTTTTTTTTTACCTACTCACTCAGTGTTTAAGAAAGACTTGCTCATTTACAGGTCTTATACGAACTGGAACATTGGGCCTACATGAAGCACTTTTATTGTTGAGAACACGAAGCACTGTTTTAGTTAAATTTTAATCGTCCCATCATCTAGAGTTTTTGTTGTTTTATACATGTTTTTGATTGTGGGCCTCACGAAATATAATTTAATCTAATATTAACAGGCTGATAATAGTGTAACTTTTTGTCCACATTTATTCTAATTTTGATTATTTTTGAGATAGTAGCTACTTGTAAATAAAGGAAGACCAAACCGTTCGTTTGTTGTATGTAACTGTAATAGATAAGTTTACTTTTGGAAAAGAAATAGAAGGTGTGGTTAATTTTTTAATCAAAATGTAAACTGCGAGTGATTGAATATTTATGCATGTATGTCGTTCACTTTTTGCTTTTTCGACGCCTACTTGACTTGTAATGTAGACTATGTTAAAGCTTAAAAAAAAACACAAAGCTATATTGTATTCAATTTTTTCATACAATCAGCAATTGCCCCAAAGTGCACAAATAAGTTATAATCACATTTGACATGAATTCACAAAAACGTCAATCACAAATATTTGTATTATCCTACATTGTATGGATTATGAAGATCATTAGCGATTGAAGGTGATCCTTTAGGCCGGGCGCACACCTGATGCGGCACGGCACGGCACGGCGCGACGTTTTGCCTTAAGGCGCCTGCGACTAGATTTCTATTATTTCAAATGGGGGTGCCGCACACATCATCGGGCACGGCAAGGCAAGGCAAAACAGTGCCGTACGGCGCTTTGTTCTGCCTTTTCAATTTTCATCTTTCGGGCAAAAGGCTTGAGGCAAAACGATGTGCGCATGCGCGAGGATCGACACC